CAGCTCGGAGGAGCGCTGTGGGGAGGAAGGAGGGGTGAGGGCTTGCACACCAGAATGGGGTTCCCCAGGGCAAAGTAGGGGTACCAATGCCCACACAGAGGCTAAGGAGCCTGCCAGGAGCGCTCCGGGCAAACGGCAGTGAGCGCTGGCCGCGCTGCAGGACCCATTCGCGCGGGGCGGGGCGGGGCGGGGGGGGGGCGGGGGAGGCGCGGAGGGGGGAGGGCGCTGCTCTGGTCCAGCTCCGGCGCCGCTGGGGCCGAGTCCGCCTCCCCACACCCCGCCTCCCGGGGGCCTCCACGGGCGGATGGGGAGCCGAGGCCTCTTTCCTCCCATCGCAGTGTTTATGAGAAATGAAACTGCACAGGGCACCCGCGGCAGCCCACACTGACACTCCATTCCCCCTCCGGGGTTCCGCAACAGCCACGCGCTGCGTCCCCCTCGTGCTTTCCCAGCCAGCTGCAGCCTCCCGCCCCGCATTTAGGAATTTTATAGCTGCACGGCGTTTATTCTGCTCTGTCATGCAGCACCTCCGCCAGAGCTGCGAGAGAAACGGAGTCGGTAGACTCGTGCCCCAGCATATCCTCAGGCCAAACCTGGAGTTGACCCAGAGGAGGAGTGCGATTTGTATTTGTTGAATGGATTAAGAAACTTCTTCCTTTCTCGAAAACGAAGCTCCTTTCAGGAAGAGTGAATGAAGCCGCCTGGATTCTATCTCTAAGGCTTAGGATGCTCAGAGGACTTAAAAAAAAAAAATACATATTTTATTGATTTTTTTTTACAGAGAGGAAGAGAGTTAGAAACATCAGTCATCTGCCTCCTGCATACCCCTCACTGGGGATGTGCCCACAACTTAGGTACATGCCCTTGACTGGAATGGAACCAGGGACCCTTGAGTCTGCAGGCTGATGCTCTATCCACTGAGCCAAACTGGTTAGGGCTCAGAGGACTTTATGCTCTGCACTTCACAATTTGGGGCTGCCTGCCTCCTAGGTTTGTTGGGAGGAACTTGGAGCATCTAAGAGCCCTCCCTCGGACCTGGAAGCTGGAAAGCCTGTTTGTGGGTTCCTTTGCTTTGGGGACTGTGGCCTCTTCTCTGGTAGTAGGCTCAGCAAAGGCCCCGGGCGGCCCTTCCCTCAAAAACTGAGTTAAAGCCTCAATGGTCCTGCATCTCAGGACTAACTGGACCCACGGAGGCGGCAGTGTGTTCTAAGAGGCTGAGGACAGAATTTGGTCCATCAGGGAAGAGGTTCCCACAGGGTGATCTTGCCTCCAACATCTTTTTTAAAAAAAATACTTTTTTATTGACTTGAGAGAAGAAGGGAGAGGGAGAGACAGAAACGTCAATGATGAGAGAGAATCACTGATTGGCTGCCTCCCACAGGCCTTCCCCTCTCCCCATCCAAACCCCAGTCCTGGGCATTTGCCCTATCCCAGCATTGAACCATGGCTTCGGGTTCAAACCACTGAGCTTAAACCGGCTGGTCTGCCTCCAGCATCCTGATCGCTACACATAAAAATCACCCAATAAATCGACCCTCAGAGAATGACAGTATAGAAGGGAGGCACCTGCTCCAGAGCTAAGCCCCAGCTAACGCCGGCTGTAGGTGGGAGGAACTCAGGTCTCTTGTGGAAAAGGCAGTTCCCCAGAAGGTCGCTGCCCAGAATGTGATATGTGGAGAAAATGCAACATGAAAGTTGAGGGTGAGGAGGGCCTGAGCAGGGGAATGACTTCTAGCTGGCTGCTGTGGGGGCATTTCATAGACCAGGCATTTGCTCTGGGCCGTAAAATAGAGACTGAAATGGAAGTGGGGGGAGGGGTAGTGAGATGGGAGAACTGAAATTGGGGGGTGGGAGCGAGTTGTTAAGTATCCCAGGAAGTCAGGGTTAAAGAGCAAATGGAAGGAACGAAGACATGAAGGGGAGAGCATAGCATGTGCTCACAGGATGGAAGTGCAGTGAAAGGTTCACGCATTTCTATTAACTCATGTCATTCGTCTCATGTTTTATAGTGTAGGAAGGGGTTTGACAGTCTACCGCCATTTCATCTTCACAACAATTAAGAGACGGACTAGAGTACCTCTGTTTTACAGATGAGAACACCGCGGCCCAGTGAGGGACAGTGACTTGCCTAAGATCACACAGCACATAGCAAAGGGACAGGAACCCAGGCTCTTGGATTTAAATTGTGTTCTTTTCCGCTGCCCTCTTGTTACTGCCAAGAGCGGGGGAGCTATGGGAGAGAAGGTTGGAATGAGAGACCCTTGGGGCCCCAGAGTGAGCATCGATTTGGATGTGGGGCTGAGGAGTCTGGGAGGACTCCGAGGGTTCCCGGGGGGACCTGAATGTTAGGGAGGTCACCAGAGTTAGGGAGAGGACCCTCGTGCAGAGGTACCCGGAGGGGCAGGCCACAGGGGAGGCTGTGGCCACCCCGGTTGGTCCTGGAGTGTGAAGACATGACTTGGTTCAAGGAAGGAAGACCCAGAGGACATGTGAGGCAGAGGGGGATTGGAGGACAGGGAAGACCTCACCAGGGAGGGAGCTGGAAGTAGGACCAGAGAAAGCTGGGGTGAGGGGAGGAGCAGTATGGAAGGGGAGGCCAGAAGTTCTGCTTGTACATGAGTGAACCTGCGGATTGGATTGTAAGGAAGTGGGTTTGGACATCACCTGTCCAGAGGGGATGCCTGGAATCACAGGGGATGAGTATTTTGAGTCAGAGAGGGGAATGGGCCAGCCCTGAATTACTGAGAAAAACCTAGGGAAGGCTCTGTGTTCTGCTTAGCATTACAGGAAATATGTGACACATCTTAGAATGGGATTCGTCAAGAGCAGTTACAATAAAAATTGTGCTTCAACAGGTATAGCTTTATTTCACCTATTTGGAGGAGAGCACTCCCAGTCCTTAGCGGCTTCGGCTTCGAGGTACAATAGAATCCCTAAAATTAAAAGTTAAAAAAAAAAATTAAAGAACACTTCAGAGATGTAAATGACAATTTCACTGGTAAATCCTAACGCTGGGGAATTTCTCCTAGGCAGAAAATCATTGATGTGTGCAAAGAGTTAGCTACGCAGTGTTGCTTGCATTATGAAAAAATGGAAATAACCTAACTGTCCTACAATTTGGGATAAATTGGGTGAAATTTTATTTATCCTTATGCTAGAATAATATGTGCCCATTGAAAATGATACTGCAGAAGTACATTCCACAACATGGGAAGAAGCTCATTATATATACATGCACATATATGGATGATTACCTGTGAATTAATATAAAATCCTTGTTTTAAAGCACTTTTTTTTTAGTCTCCTGTTGCCTTCATAGGGTCATTTGGCCAATTTCTCAGACCACAGGAGATGCAAACTTCCTCTCCCTAATCTCATTCTGAGTTTTCCAGCGCTGGCTGTGTCAGGTTCTTGGGGACCATCCATTTGCTGCACAGAGAACAGACCTCAGAGCTCAGGAGCCAGTTGTTTCTGCGCTTGCTCAGAAGGTCTCGGTCTCCCATTTTGCTTCACACCCAGCGAGGCTCATGCCTCACAGTTCCTCCTGCCTCTTCCAGCTTCTGCACCCACCACCAGAATTGGCTTAACTCATCTAACTCCTCTGTGGGAAGAAGTGGAGTGACTGACAGGTGGAACACTGCATCCATGTGTCTAGTGTGGCCTGCATCCTTGCAACTGGGTGCTGCTGTGGACGGAGGCCGGGGTGAAGGGCCTGACACAACCGGCCTCGCCAGGAAGAGCAAGCTACTGAGTCAGCAGCTTTGGGGAGGTGAGGGAAGAGCTCTGAGTGGAAAAGTGAACAGAGCCCAGCCTCTAGGAGTACACAGGTAAGGCGAGGTCTAAGTCGTAAGCACAAAAGTTAACCAGCTACCCTTCCCCTATGGCCTGGGAGGGTAGCTAGTTAACTGAGCCCTCTGGTCTCCAAGCCTTTGGCCGGACCCATGCATGGCCTTAGCCAGCCCTAAGGAATCTGCCCAGGACCTCTGTGGGCCAAGCCTCGAGGACTCAGAGACAACACCAGTGCTGCCACCGAGGAGCTCCCTCGCAAGGGCCGCCTAAGGCTGTGGTGCTAGGAGGGACCAAGGCTACCCCCCACCCCTGCTCAGCCCCCCAATTTAACACTCCTGGCTTCCATGAAACCCTTCTTTATTTACTCTTTCCCCAGGCCAGCTGTGGGGCAGTCCCAAGGATGCAGACAGAGAAGGGGGGAGACGTGTCTCCCTGGTCACTCTTAGACGCTCGCCGGGGATTTCGCAAACCACAGAGCATCTGCTGCCCAACTGGGGCATGGTGCTTTGCAGATATATCTCTGGGTCGCTGAACACCGGCGACGAGGTGGGGCTATTATTTTGAGGTTGAGGACATTGAGGCCCCCGAGTCCTCTGGCGGGCTGCGCCATCCGTGGCCGGACTGAGATTCCCTCTCGCCCACCTGCCCCAGGCGGCAGCCCGGGCAGAGCGGGGGTTCCTTTCCGTCTGCAGGGCAGGTGGGTGACCCGAAGCTGGGTCACCTCTCAAGAAGCGGGCCATGAAGCCCTCCCTCTTTGACACCCCGCTCGCGGTCTGGAGGAACCGGCCGGTCTTCGGGAATGTAAGCCCGGTGTCCACTCTGCAGGAGGAGGCAGGTGCCCGGTGCCCACCTCACCTGCGTTCCTCCGGGGACAGACGCCTTCACCCCCCGAGAGGAGGGTGAGCAGCCGGCCGCTGGCGCTGCAGGCGGGGAGGACGCGGGCCGGGAGGACCTGGGGCCGGAGCGGCGGCTTTCCTGGAGAGCCCATCGCGGGGAAGCGCCGGGCGGGAGGGAGGCCGGCGGGCGGCGGCGGCGGCGGCGGCGGCGGGGGCGGGGAGGAGCAGCCGCCCTGTACTTCCCCTTCGCCGCTAGCTCTACAACAGCCTGATTTCCCCGAAATGATGGGGCTGCGCCGGCCAATGGGCGCCCGGGGAGGCGGGGCCGGGCCGGGGCCGGGGGAATCCCGCTAAGTGTTTAGATTGCGGGCCGGCGCCGCTGTCCCGGCAGATCGCGCCGCTCCTCCGTCGAGGCAGGACCTGCGTCCGCGCTCCGCCGAGCCCAGGCCTGCGGGAGCCGAGCCCAGCCAGCCCAGGACAGCCGCGCCCGTGGCCCCGCGACCCGGACAGGCATCCTCTGCCTGCTGCCCGCTCCACCCGGACTCCCCTCCCCGCCCGGGACCCTCGGAGACCGCCGCCCGTTCGCGCCCGCTGCGGAGGTGAGCCTGCCTCCGCCGCGGGATGGGGGGTGGGGGCGGGGGTGGCATCGAACAAAGACGCGCGGGGCACCGGGAAGTGGGGGCTGCAAACCCCGGCGGGAGAGCCGCGGGCCGGCTGCGTTGCCCGGGCTCCCGCGCGGACGCGAGAGGGCGCGGGGGGAGCGGCGGCTGCAGCGCGGGGAGGGCGGGCCGAGCGAGGCTGCGGGCGCCCGGCCGCGCCCGCAGATCGGTGCGCGCGGAGCCCTCCGGGGCCTCCGGGGAACGGGGTCCTGCTCGCAGCGCGCACCCACGAGCGGTGCCGGGGTCTCGGGTGTCCGTCCGCGCACGGGGGCTCTGTGGCCCGCGCCCAGACCCCGGGTTTCGGGCTGACGGCGCAGGTGGCAGGGCTGGGGCTTGCCTCCCCGGGCGGCTGGGGAACCTGCTGGAGCAGCGGGAGGAGGCGTCACAGGTGTTTGGTTCACGTCGCCGCCGCCGCCGCCGCCGCCGCCGCCGAGGGCGGGAGCCAGGCTGGAAGGGTTGCGCCTCGCGGCGGCCGCTGCACGGTTGTGGGCGAGGCTGGGGGAGAGGATGTCTCCCGTGCAGGCTGCCTGCTCACCCCTTAGGGAAAGTGCACAGCTTTATCTAAAGTAGGGAAATTTCTTGGCATCGAGCAAAAGAAGCCCCTCCCTTCCCAAAGGATCTAAGTTTGGGAAGAATAGTTTTGGTATTAAGATACCCGTGTATTTTTGTCTCTTTTTTCTGCACCTAAATCCTGCAACGATCACCAGTTTTCCCAGGACTGCCCAGGAGGGAAGGGGCAGAAATGGTGTTGCCTGAGATGCTAAAAAGATTTGGAGGGCAATTTTATTTCAGTATAACCCTCCTCCCCCATGACGGCATTGCCTGCTGCCCGGTGGAGGGCGGGGGGTGGGGGGTGGGGTGCCTGGGGACCAGCGAAGTAGTGCCCCGGGGCTGCTCAAACAGACTCACACAACAGCCTTCTGTCTTCTCTTTACAGCCAACATGCCCATCACTCGGATGCGCATGAGACCCTGGCTAGAGATGCAGATTAATTCCAACCAAATCCCAGGGCTGATCTGGATTAATAAAGTGAGTGTAACACTTTGGGTTTTTTTTTTTTTTTTCTGCCACGTTTTAGCCCTTGTTCTTTGGGGGGGACCAAAGCTCCAGATGCAGCTCAAAAAGGGAAGTGATAGGGAGGAGGCAGATGTGTTTCCCAGCGGGTCCTGCATGCAGGGAGTGTGCAAGGTCCAGCCCTGGGCTTCCCTTGCCTGACTTCTTCTGCCTTCCTTCCTTCTTGAGGTAAGCTCAGGGCGCCTACCTGAGGCCACTGACAGGTGTCCAGCACTAGACTCTCCCCGCATCCGAAGAGCAGGAGTTCTGATCTCTCCTGAGGGAGACCCGTAAACATCCACCCAACAGGGCTCTGGTCAGTCAAATGGCACTGCCCGTAGGAAGGTGACTGGCTCGCCAGGTGACCCAGGAGTTAACCTTGCACCAGTTGTCCAGGCCCAAGAAACCTCTCGCAGGTGAATAAAGGGAATCACAGGCTTTGCAGACCTAATAATAACAGTATTCATAATAATAGCTACTGCATACTGTCCACTCACTACAAGTGAGTATGGCAACATGCTATGTACGTTGCTTACATTGTGTCATTTAACCCTCAAAATAGCCCTGTGAGGTAGATCCTTTCATGTCTCCCTTTTTAGATAAGAAAAGGAGGCAGTGGGAGAGAAGATAGATAATGCCTCTGCTGCCAAGACTGGGACCTGAGCAAGCTGACTCAGAAACCCATACCGTTAAGCCACCAGTAACGAGAACAGGGAGACCTTAGTCTTTACATTTGCCACTGCAATTTCTTGTTTCATAGAAAACAGTGAGGGACAGAGTTAGAGGGCCAGGGCAAGGGCCACACAGGTAGTCAGCGTCGGAGTCTGGCCCAGGGCTTCCTCAGGGGTACGGCCAGAACCCCCAGTGTAGGAGCCAGTGGCCCTAAGGTGTCCTGAGCAGCCCCATCTCATGGACGGAGTTCTCATTTCCACGTTGATGCTGACCAGCCAGAGAAGCATCCCACCCAGCATGTCTGTATCAGTCAGAGGGAGGCTTTTGCTGAGCTGATGGTGCCACAGCTCCTTCTGAGAGATCCAGAGTGATGCAGCAGCCTGTTTAAGCCAATCGCAGGATGGGTCAGCCCAAGCCAGCTGTCAGGATAAAAAGGGGAAGTCAGCCTTTTCGCAGGCCGGGGTGGCTGGGCAGACTCAGACTAAAAGCCGGTGGCCTCTGAGCTGACACAACCTTCTCTACCTGTGTGTGTGCTGTTCAGGAGGAGATGATCTTCCAGATCCCATGGAAGCACGCCGCCAAGCATGGCTGGGACATCAACAAGGACGCCTGTCTGTTCCGGAGCTGGGCCATTCACACAGGTATGCGAGCGACACTTGCCCAGGAGGAGCCAGGGCGGGGCTGGGGGAGGCACTTCTGTTAACACAGAGGCTCTTACTGGGCTTTCCGAGCTCCCTGCCATGGCATACAGAATTGGGGGCTGGCATACAGAATTGGGGGCGGGGGCAGAGGGCAGACCTGCATTTCTTTGGAGAGGGGCCGTGGTTTCAAGGAGTTTGTGGCTGGATTAAAGTTCTCGCTGGCAAAAGCAACTGTGAGCCAAGAGAGTAAAAGGGACCCAGGCCTTCTTTTCCTGAGGTCCTTGGCTAAAGGCCCATCTTGTTGGTGGCCTCCTGTCCCCGAGGGATGGGGCTCTTGGCCCATCTTGGACCAGTAAGCACACCTGTCAGTAACTGATCTTTGATGCCCACTCCTTACCCACTCCGATGCTTGGAAACATCAGACAAGCCCCAGCCCCTACCCTCTGGATGCTGACAGCTCACGTCGGGAGTCTGGGCATGGTCCAGGACAAAGAGCACTTTCGGGTATGGGAGCGCTCTCGTGCTCCCAGCTGGGCCCTTCCGTGAGGCTTGCTGGGTGTGTTTGTACAAGCCTGGGCACTGGAGAAACCCAGGGTCTAGGGCCAGCAGAGTGTCACGCAGGAATTCCTGCCCGTCTGACCTGTCCAGTGAGGATCTCTGGCAGCCTGAGAGCTCGGAAAACTCTTGCCTTCCTCCTCCCAGGCCAGCAGGCGCGGAGGACCCCCGCCTTTGGCCCTGACCGTCCTCTTCTCTCTCCCGTCCACCAGGCCGGTACAAAGTCGGGGAAAAGGAGCCAGATCCCAAGACATGGAAGGCCAACTTCCGCTGTGCCATGAACTCCCTGCCGGACATTGAGGAGGTGAAGGACCAGAGCAGGAACAAAGGCAGCTCGGCCGTGCGGGTGTACCGGATGCTCCCACCGCTCGTCAAGAACCAGAGGAAAGGTATCCGAGGGCTCTGGGTCCTCAAGAAGCCCGCAGGCAGGGAGGGAGGGGGAGAAGGAAGGAGGGAGAAGGAGGGAGGAAGGCAACTGGGGTTGGTGGGCCTGTCCCAAGGCTCATAGCCTATCTCCTCCACAGAGAGAAAGTCCAAGTCCAGCCGAGATGCTAAGAGCAAGGCCAAGCGGAAGGTGAGTGCAGTCCTAGGCAGCCAGTCTTTGGCCACCTGTGAGTCAGGCTGGGCCGAGGAAGAGGCGCCCCGGCAGCCTGGTCTAAGCTTCTCTCCCTCTGCAGTCGTACGGGGACTCCAGCCCTGATACCCTCTCCGATGGCCTCAGCAGCTCCACCCTGCCTGATGACCACAGCAGCTACACAACACAGGGCTTCATGGGGCAGGACCTGGAGATCGAGCGGGCCCTTACTCCAGGTGAGAGGCACGCGGCCTGGCAGGGGCCACACAGGTTGGAGGAGGGGGGGCGTGGGGCAGCTCTTTCTCTTGGATCTGGGAGGCAGTCTGCATTTGGGTAGGGAGTGCGGGGTGTTCTGCAAACTAAGAAAGCACACAGCTCTGACCTGCGCTTTCTGCCGTCCTGAAGCTCTGTCACCGTGTGCCGTCACTAGCACGCTTCCCGACTGGCACATCCCCATGGAGATGATGCCCGACAGCACCAGCGACCTGTACAGATTCCAGGTGTCGCCCATGCCCTCCACCTCTGAAGGTTGGTGCTTCTGGGGCCCTCGCTCGCCTGCCTGACTGTTGGGGCCTTGGGAGGGGTTTCCTGGGGGAGGAAAGGTGCTCGGAACTCCAGAGCTGACTGCGGCAGGGCAGAGAGGAAGGGGCCAGAGGCTGCATTTTGATCTCAGGTTGCTGGTTCTCCTGGCTCCTCTGCAGCCAGGCTCGGAGGGTGAGGAAGGAAGTGAGGGAGTAGAAAAAGGTGTGGCTTCAGGGATTGGGAGGCGGAGTCAGCAGACAGTGTCCTGTTCTGGAATCTCCATGGCAGGCTAGGCAAATGCCTCCTGGGAGGTGTGTGTGTGTGTGTGTGTGTGTGTGTGTGTGTGTGTGTGTGTAGGGGCAGGGGAGCCTGGCTGACTGCCAGCTAACCTCTCTGCTCTTCTGCATCCACAGCCACAACAGATGAGGATGAGGAAGGGAAGCTCTCTGATGACATAATGAAGGTAGAGTCCCTTCCTCCCTGGGCACTCTTTTGAAGTAGCGGCTACTCAGTGAGGAGGAGAGCACCAATGAGAGCGTCCAGATTGGGGCGGGGGGGGGGGGGGGTGGAGGGGCCGTAGGCAGCTACTGCTATGGCCTGGCTGCTTGCAGAGTGCCATCTCCAGCCAGCTGTGGACCACTGCCCTCCTTGGAGGAAAGACACTGCGGAAGTGAGGACAGGAGGGATGCCTGGTTTCCAACAGACTGTCCCGGGGCAGGCCTCGGACCCAGATAGCTCTGAGTCAGCCCCCATCAGGACCAGGTCCCTGGCCCGCATCCTCCGCCCCATCATGCCCCAGCCCTGCTCGCCTGAGAAATGCGCATCAGGTTTCAGTAATCAGCCCTGGGGATTTATACTATGGCGGCTTTTTTATTTTCTTTAGCTAATGATCCTCTAGAGGTTTTTTTTTTTTTTCTGTTTTAGTTTTAAAAGCGAATATAAAAGAGTTTTGCAGTTGATTGCAGGCTCTGATCCATCAGCACAAACTACGTGGCGTAATTTCTTTTTAAAAAAAAATATTTTATTGATTTTTTATAGAGAGGAAGGGAGAGGGATAGAGAGCTAGAAACATCGATGAGAGAGAAACATCGACCACCTGCCTCTTGCACACCCCCTACTGGGGATGTGCCCACAACCAATGTACATGCCCTTGACTGGAATCGAACCTGGGACCTTTCAGTCCGCAGACCGACGCTCTACCACTGAGCCAAACCGGTTTCGGCGACGTGGCGTAGTTTCTTATTTCTAGCTTTTATAGTCATCTTTTCTTGACTTATTATGCTAGCCATTGCTGTAAGCCATACTCCCGTTGTCCTGTCCTTACCCAGTTGGAAGGAAAGTCTAGGAGCTTCGGTGTCCGAGGCTGATGTAGGAGTGTGAGCCCAGGCAGACCCTCAGCTTTCAGACCCCTGTCCTTCGAGAACTCCTCCTCTGCGCCTGTCCGCCTGTCCGTCTGAGGAAGCGGCCAGGGGTGGGATCCTGGCTGGGAAGCTCTGGCTCGTTGGGGCAGGGCTGTTGGGTGAGTGTGCCCTGGGAGGGAGCTGACGGCCTCTTGTTCCTCTGTGTGCAGTTCTTGGAGCAGGAGCAGTCGGACTGGCAGCCGACACATGTGGATGGGAAGGGGTACCTGCTCAACGAGCCCGGGGCCCAGTCCACCTCTGTCTATGGAGACTTCTGCTGCAAGGAGGAGCCAGACAGCCTTGGGGGTAAGAAGCCCCTGGAGGAGGGAGAACCAGGTGGGGGGATGAGGGAGGGGAAGGTTTGGGGATAGGGAGCAGCAGAGGTAAAGCATCCTTCTTGAACTCACCAGCGTGCAGACGGCTTGCACATTGGCTGTCGCGCCCATGCCTTGAGGCTTGCCTCAGGATGAGTGTTGCGGCCATGGGATGGCCATGAGATGCTGCTGTATCTGTGGTCTTCAGGGAGGGGGCTAGAGGGGAACACACCTCCTCCCACTCCCCTGTCCTCATACATCCTTCTTCACATCTTCCAGGGGATATCGGACTGAGCCTACACCGCGTCTTCCCGGACCTGAAGAACACGGACAACATCTGGCTGGACAGCCTGCTGCCCCCAGTCCGGCTGCCCTCCATCCAGGCCATTCCTTGTGCGCCATAACTGGGTTCCCGGCTGTCTTTTGTTCTCCTACGCGAGCAGGACCCGGCATCACGGTGGCTGTGGTGCAGAGAAGCGAGACTCTTGGACATGCAAAGAGTGGGGATGGGGCCATCCTCGTTGGGATGGTGGCTTCTCATGGCCTGGCAGGACAGGGTCCGTGGGGTAAAGCCAGCCTTGCCTCCTGGGAAAGTGGGGTTCTGAGGCTGGTGACAGGTGGAGGTCTCAGACAGAAGTCAGCCCTCCAGGTTTTCCCTCTGAACCCAGCCGCCTAGAGAGAGTTTGGCTGTCACCGAGGGAGCAGACCGGTGGCCTCAGAGAAGCACAGCACCATCCCAGGGCAGGCTCTGCACTAAGAGACAATTGCACTAAAGTGAATCCTGTTTCCAAAGAGCGTCTCCCTTCCCAGCTGAGCCCTGGGCACTGCTCCAAAGTCAGTGGAATGTGAAGGAAAGACGCCTTCCTGCGGGGCAGTGGCTCCTCAGCCTCAGAGGAGTCCTGCCTCCCCGCCTGGGCCGAGGGGCTGGGGGGAAAGCATGGCACTTTTTCTTGTGAATCTTGCCACGTTTCTGGTCAGAGATGTACACTAACGTTTCCCGCAGGTTCTCAACCTTTGCGTTTATTTATGCAGTGCCTTGTCCTGCGCCCGCCTGCCCCTCGGGCGGGCTGCAGCAGCTCTCCGCAGGCCCAGGGAGGGAAGTGTGAGCACCTTGGTATGACTTTTAAAATTGGAAAAGCTTTCTAACCACTAAGTCATATATGACCATAATATGTACAAGTGTGTAAATATGTACATTGTATTTTTATAAAAAGTGAATTGTTCTAAGGGGTGTGGCCTTTTATTTATAGAGAAATTGCAGATGAGTTTACTCTCTGGAGAGACATTGGGATGGCCTCATTCTCGGCATCCTGCCTGAGCGTGACTATGGGGCTGGGTGACATGCACCTATTGTAGGATCCTGTCAATTGTGTTCTCTCAGAAGATGGCAGGAGGGGACAACCTTGGCACAGGGACAGACTCATGTAAATATAGTCGAGGCTTGGCTTTGGAGGCCGTGCTGGGAGTTGAATTCAGGTTTCTGGGGACTGGGGAGTGCTGGGTTTTTAGTGCTGAGGAATGTGCCGCAGGCTGTGCGTCCCGCTGAACTCAAACGCAAGTGCACTCGGGTGCTCTTCCCCAGAGCGAACAGCTGGTGCAGCGCAGCCCTGGGCAATCGGAAAAGATGGCCGCTCAGAAAAGGCCCCGAGGCCTGCTGTGCCGGGTGGCATTGCTGCCCGACTTCGGCAGTGATGGGCATGTATAGTAGCAGTGGCAAAGCCACATGTGCCACCTGAGTACTTGGAATGTGGCCAGTGCAATGGAGAAACCGAATTTTAAACTTCATTAGTTAAAATTTAAGTAACCACTTGTAACTAGTATCTACTATATTGGACAGTACAGGTAGAAACTGGATTAGGGACAGACCTGAGGGGTGGGGTGGGGTGTTGAGAGAATACCAGGGACAGGGGCTTGGGGCTGTTTACCTGCCAAATCAGGAGTATTTTACTTTTGCCAGCTAACAGTAACCATCAGTGCTGAATTCCAGCCCTGCATTGTACTGTGAAATGGGGCCATGCACAGATTTGTGAGGAGAACCCTGGGTGACCTTATATGAAGCAGGTTTTCCTCCTCGTCTATTCAGGGTCTGTCTGGGCTGATGCACACAGAAATTCTCTGAAGGGGTACATTGGTCAGAATGGTGTTTCTGAAAACCACAGGTTGGGAAGCACTGACACATGCCAAAGCACCCTCCACATAAGGCCCACGTCACAGGAATATCTGAGGGTGAGAGGTCTGGATATGGGCTTTTCTCCTCTCCCTCCCCAGTCTCTGGCATAAACAGTACCCAGCAGTAGGCAGGCTGGCCAAGGGAAGTCTGCTGGCATCATTAGCATCATCTAGGGCCGTGGTCGGCAAACTCACTAGTCAACAGAGCCAAATATCAATAGTACAAAGATTGAAATTTCTATTGAGAAACAAATTTTTTAAACTTATAATGCCACTTCTTCAAAATAGACTCGCCCAGGCCATGGTATTTTGTAGAAGAGCCACACTCCAGGGGCCAAAGAGCAGCATGTGGCTCTCGAGCCGCAGATTGCCGACCATGGATCTAGGGCATGAGGCCGTGGCAGGGAGGGGGTTGCTCAGGGAAACCAAGCCTTGTGGACACATCTTCCATATACTTAGTCCTAGAAACACTTGCACTGCGATCCCCTCTTGGAGGAATGGGCCCTTGGTGGGGAAGGAAAGGCTGAGGGAAAGAATGATGAGGAAATGGAACATGGGCAAAGGTCAGTTGCACATGCTCTGCCAAGCTCAAGAAATATTGTTCTCTGACCTTGAACATGCAGAGTGAATGACAGATGGGCTCCTGCTTGCGGGTGTGTGTGGGGGTAATTCTGCATGAAGGTGCCTGGATAGACCCCAATCTCAAGCCCTGCCCATCAGAAGGTCCACCTGGTTTTTTCAAGAGTAGCTTCACCTATGGGCAGAGGGATGGGTAAAGTGACCTTTCCAGCTCCACCAGAGCCCAGCCCTTACTGAGGAAAAATGGATTGGGGTGACTAGCCCCTGTGAAGGAGTGGGCGTGGCAAAGACTTCTAGTGGGTGGCTTTTCTAGATAAGGATGGCTGGGGGCGGTGTGAAGCCAGGGAGAGTGGAATGAGGAGGGATGGAAGCTACCCAAAGCAAACAGGAACTGCTTCTGACTTCTCTGTCCTTCAATCTCATCCCTGACATAGTATGTTGAAGAGGGTACGTTGAAGTCCCAGGTACCTATGGAAACCTCAAGTTCAAATATGCCAAAGTTCACCACCAAAAAAAAGTTACCAGAATTAGAGAGGAATTCCTCTCCTCACCCAATCTCCAGAGCCACGCTGGAGCCCTGAGCTCCTCAGCTCTTCTTATCCCAGGAGTCCTAACCAACTGGGACCAGCTCCTTAGAGCATCCTGCACCCCCTCCTCATCATAATGGAGCTGGGTCCTGAAGGAGGAGTGTGGGAGAGGTCAGGACCGTGAGCTGTCCTCCCCACACCCCACCAGGGACGTCAGCCTGTCCCTAACAGGAGAAACAGTAAAGTCTGCCTGCTCACCTAGGAGTGACGGCAGCTGACACTAACTCAGCGGAACAACATCAGTTTAATCCGAGCCAAACCTGGGCATAATCATTTAAGGTCATTCCAAGAGTTTCAGTCTAAGCACCGAGGGAAGGTGGAGGCTCTTGGCTGAGGCAGCTAGGCGGCCATGGAAGTCTGTTTTTTACGGGCTGTGATGATATCATTGTCATCGAGAAGCACTTTTCAATGGGGCAATCTGGCAACGTGAGGCTCAGTCATACCAGCGAGAACTCCTGCCAAGTCTACAGATATTCAAAGGCGTTTCTGGGTGCGTACAGGGTTTCCTTGCTTCCTCCAAAGGTGTCATTTTCATTGGGCTGGTTCACTCATTCCGCTCACTTGGCAATAGGAGGAAAGCTACAGGCTAACACACTAGCTGCCATACAGAGGCTCAGGGTGCGGGAGATCTTTAGGGGACACAGATGCCAACTATCCCTTCTCAGTGTGTTGGTTTTCAACATCTCTCAGCGCCCCACATGCAGGATGAGGGACTGAGACGGGACTGAAGTCCTAGGAAAAGCCCAGGGCCTGGGGTGGAGTCCTTTCCTCTGGGAGTGATGTCCCCTGGCTAGTGGAGCTGGTCATACCCAGGCTGTCATTCTCTGGAGCCATTTGGTCCTTCACAGTTTGCATAGAACCCCAAATCCCTGTATCGGTGGGGATCAAGGAGCCCTGCTGGAGCATCCAGAGGGCTTTGTCTCTCCCAGATGCAATGCCCTTTCTTAACTTGGGCATGAGGAACCCTCCACTGGGAGGATGCCTGAAACGCATCAGAACACTGCACCAGCCTCCCCCCACTTGTACCAGTGGTCGGTCACGGGGGCAGGAGCCTGGGGAGGGAGAGTGGGGAGCTGGTGACCTCTCTTTTCCAGGAGCAGAAGTTCTGGGAAGAGGAAGACTTGTCTTTGTCAGCCAGGACTCCCTGGTGAGGCCAAGTCTCAGCGGCACAAGGGAATAGCGCGTTGGCCACATGGTTTTCTTAGCTCCAGGCAGCTCCCCAGAGACTCCGTTCTGATGACTTTCTGGGGGTGGCGAGTTGGAGAAGAAGCCTCCACTTCTGCAGGCTCCGTGGTGAGGGTCTATGTAGTTTAATTTCAATGGGGGAAATACTGACGGCAATAAAGCCAGGACATGGGGACCGAGCAAGAGGAAAGACAGATGTTCAGCTCGCCATCGCTTATCTAGTGCCACGAGCTCAGAAAGAGGCAGAATGGGAAGGACCTCAAAGCCTGGCTGGGTCATGATAACATAGTCCTCGGGTGCCCACCAGGACAAGGTGCCAAGCACCCCCTACGCACCATGACACCGGCACCCACCACAGCCCCGGCTTCACGGGCCAACCGGAGCTCAGCGGGCATAAGGCGTTTGCCTGAGATGACTCAGCTGATCTGTATGGGGCCTGGATTCCACCCCACAGCTGTCTGTGCCCAGAACCCAGACTGCTTCCACAACATCAGAGGAGGAAACTGAGGCCTGGGGAGGAAGACCGGCAGAGCTTGCCCGGGAGCAGGGCACTAGCACCTCATGCCAAGAAAGCCTTTGGAGACATGGGGAGACGGCAGCAAAACCCACAGCCGCTCTGGGCTCTGTGCAACCCGCCCCTGCCTTCAGCAGTCCTGACCTCCCACCCGGGGGGACTGCCTCTGCAGCCAGAGGCCCCAGAGCCCCAGTGGGGTAGGGTTTGTCTTGGTTCTCATAGGGGAACGCCCGCCTATGCCCTGGAGGCCACCTGCAGTGTAGAGGAGCCTGGGCCCCAGGAGGGCGGCACACAGACCGCCTGTGACTTGGCCTCAGTGCAGGCGCAGCTCAGCCACACCAGTCTGTGTGTGAACCCGCTCCAGGGAACTCCGGCCTGTTAGCCCTTATCTCAGCTCTAGGAATGGAAGAGGACTTTCCAGCTTGCCTGTCTGAGCCATGCGGCCGGAGTGCTCCTGTTCTGCTCAAACCCAGACCCTTGTGGGGTCCCCGGGTCCTCAGAGTTCTGGACTCTGGTGACTGTACCGGCCAGAACTATTTGGGGTGCATCCTTAACCCCCAGTCATGTGGTTGGGCCCCTCTGTGGCTGTCATGCATCAAATCCTGGCTGCTTGGTCCCCGAGAAAACAGCACTCCTGACCGCGGGCTGGTTGCTGCCCCACATCGGTGGGTGCTCAGCCTCGCTGGCAGGCTCTCCTTGGAAGACTTGCCCCACCCTGCCCTCCAGACCCAGCTGAGAGGCGGCGGGTGGGGCCCTCGCTTCTATTTCTGGCCAAATGCCTCTCGTGGGCCTGGGTTCCTTCTTGGTTCCTGCCCTCTGCTTTTCCTTAGAAACCAGGTGGCTGCAGGGCATCAGGCTCTCAGTCGGAATTAGGGCAGGACCAACGAGTGCTCCCACAGAAATCAACTCCTCAGCCACACCTTTGCTGGGAGACGTGAGAGGATGTGCCAGGATCTCCATGTGCCAGGATCTCCGTTCAGGAGTGAAGTAAGGGGCCGAGGCCACGTGAGTCCTGGGGTGGGGGTGGGGAGGAGGGTGTACTAGGAAGGGACCGTGCGAACACAGTGGTGGTGTTTGGGGGTCTGGGGTGGACAGGGAGGAAGTCGTTGTGCCAGAAGAGCTATTACTTTTTCTAAAATGAAGAACACATCAAGGAGTCCTGTCCGGTCGGCCACCCTGGTGCAGCGGT